TTACATGGGTGGAGACATATTATGATTACATGTTAAGGGTTTGCTGATCAAAAATACTCAAGCAATTAGCTTGTCATTAAAATCACTTCATAGAAAACACATTTATAGAAACAAATCATCAAAGAGCTTTGCATTACTATGAAGGTATAGTAACAAAGACAAGTGTGGTGCTGGTATAAAGATAGACATATCTATCAATGGAATAGAACTGAAATTCCAGAAATAAACTCTCACAAACACAATCAATTGATTTACAACAGAGGGACAAGACAATTCAATAAAGAAAAGCAGTCTTTAAAAAAAAAGTAATGGGACAACTAGATAGCCACATACAAAAGAATGAACTTGGACTCCTATATATATAGCATATATAAAATTAACTCAAATCAAAGACCTAAATATAAAAGCTAAAACCCACAAAACTCTTAGAAGAAAACACAAGCATAAATCTTTGTAAACTTGAACTAGGCAATACTTTCTAAGATGTGACATCAAAAGCAACAAAAGAAAAAAAAATGGGACTTCATCAAAATTAAAAACTTTTGTGTTTCAAAGGACACTATAAAGTGAGGGTACAACCCACAGAATGGAAGAGAAAAACTGCAAATTATGTACCTGATAAGAAGACTTATACCTAGTATATATAAGGAACTCCTTCAAGTCAATAATAAAGATACAAAAAAATGTTTTTGAAATGCACAAAGGATCTGAATGAATATTTCTCCAGAAAATATGTACAAGTGGCCAATATGCACATGAAAAAATGTTCAACAGCATTACCCATCATGGAAATGCAAATAAAAACCTCAGTGAGAACCAGCTCACACCCACTAGGGTGGTTGTAATCAAAGGCAGATAATAAGTGTTAATGAGGATGTAGAGAAATTGGAACTCTCATAAATTGTAAAATGGTGCTGCCACTTTGGAAAATAGTTTGTCAGTTCCTCAAAAGATTAAATATAGTTACCATATGACCCAGCAAATCAACTCCCAGGAATATACCCAAAAAGAAAGTAATGCCCATACAAAAACTTGTACACAAATATTCAAGAAACAGAACTTCTGGCCAAGATGGAGGCATAAACAGATATGCTTTGCCTCCTCACACAACCATAAGGATAACCAACCTAAAAACAAAAAACAACCAGAAGTGCCAGAGAATCAAACTGTATGGAAGTCCAACAACCAAGGAATTAAAGAAGAAATATTCTTTCAGACAGGTAGAAGGGGAAGACAGGGGCAGCTGGGACAAAGAGGACACATACAATGACACAGCTGTGGCCAGCACAATGGTAGTCCCATATTCATGTGTGAATAAAAACTTAAACTGGAGAACAAGCAATCCCTGCCTCAGGACAGACCACACAACCCAGTGTCCCAGCACCAGTAAGAGAAAATATAAAAGCCAGTGAGGGTTGTGGCAGCAGAAGAAACTGCCAGTCTCTCAGGAGAGTCTGTTTGAGGGGCCCAAGGGATCCTAGAATGTACACAAGCCCACCCACTCAGGGAATCAGCACGAGGGCAGGAGCTGGAAGGGTGCCAGTCACTTGCCAGAAGTGGGGGAAGTGACTGAAAGCTGGCAGAACCAAGCAAATGGCATTGTTCCCTCTCCCTCACATACAGCACTGCAAGTAGTCAAGTGGGTTGCCCAACCCTGGCGAACACCTAAGGCTCCACCCCTTGCAATGTAACAGATGTGCCAACAAATTGAGAAGACAAAAAAATATGGCCCAAATGAAAGAACAAATCAAAACTCCAACAATAGAACTAAGCGAAGAGGAGATAGCCAACCTATCAGATGCAGAGTTCAGAACACTGGTAATCAGGATGCTCACAGAAATGATTTAGTATGGCCAAAAAATAAAGGAAGAAATGAAGGCTATGCAAAATGAAATGAAGAAAAATATACAGAGAACCAAGAGTGAAGGGAAGGAAGCCAGGATTCAAATCAACAATTTGGAACAAATGAAAGAAATAAACATTCACCTGGAACAGAAAAAAGAAACAAGAACTCAAAAAAATGAGGAGAGGCTTAGGAACCTCTGGGACAACTTTAAATGTCCCAAAATCCAAATCATAGGGGTGCCAGAAGAGGAAGAAGAGCAAAAAGTTTAAAACTTATTTGAACAAATAATGAAAGAAAACATCCCCAATTTGGTAAAGGAAATAGACATATAAGTCCAGGAAGCTCAGAGAGTCCCAAATAAGTTGGACCTAAAAAGGGCCACACCAAGGCACACCATAATTAAAATACCAAAAGTTAAAGAGAGAATCTTTAAAAAAGCAAGAGAAAGGAAGGGAGTTACTTACAAAGGAATTCCCATGAGATTATCAGCTGATTTCTCAAAAGAAACTTTGCAAGCAAGAAGGAACTGGCAAGAAGTATTCAAAGTCATGAAAAGCAAGGGCCTACGTCCAAGATTACTCTATCCAGCAGATATTTAGAATGGAAGGGCAGATAAAGTGCTTCCCAGACAAGATAAAGCTAAAGGAGTTCATCATCACCAAGCAATTATATGAAATATTAAAGGGACTTGTCTAAGAAAAAGAAGATCAAAAGGATAGACAGTAAAATGACAACAAACTCATGACTATCAACAACTGAACCTAAAAAAAAAAAAATTAAGCAAACAGCCCTGGCTGGTGTGGCTGAGTGGATTGAGGGCTGGTCTGCAAATCCAAGGGTTGCCTGTTCGATTCCCAGTCAGGGCACATGCCTGGGTTGCAGGCCAGGTCCTGGTGGGGGGAGGGGGAGCATGTGAGAGGCAACCACACATTGATGTTTCTCTCCCTCTCTTTCTCCCTCCCTTCCCCCTCCCCAAATAAATAAACATTTAAAAAAATTAAGCAAACAACTAGAAGGAACAGAATCACAGAATTGGAGATCACATGGAGGGTTATCAGCAGAGAGGGGGATGGGGGAGTATGGGGGAAAAGGTACAGGGGATAAGTACAAATGGCGGGTACAAAATAGAGGGGGAGATTTAGAATAGTAAAGGGAATGTAGGAGCCAAAGAACTTATATGTACAACCCATGGACATGAACTAAGCAGGGGGGATAGCTGTAGAGAATCAGGGTACTGGGCAGAGGGGAGCAAAGGATAAAAAAAATTGGAAAACTGTAATAGTATATTTAGTAAAATATACTTTAAAAATACAGCATGACTCATATTAGTGAAACAGTGGAAACAACTCAAATTCAACTGATGAACTGATAAACAAAATGTGGTATATTTGTGCAATGGAATGTTACTTAGTAATAAAGAAGAATAAAGTGCTGATGGATGCAACATGAATGAACCTGGAAAACATGAAGCTAAATGAAAGAAGCCAGTCACAAAAGACCACATATTATAAGCTTCCCTTTATATATGTCCTGGTATCCTTATTTATGTCCTTCCTGGACATAAAGGTTTATATATGTCCAGAATAGGGAATTCTAAAGAAAAGAAAGTGTATCAGTAGTTGCCTAAGTTTGGGGTAGGTGGGGAAGAAAACAGGTGTTAGGAAGAAATGGAGAATGTGTGCTAACGGATATAGGTTTCCTTCTGGGGTGATAAATGTGTTCTAAAACCAGTTGTGGTGAAGGCTGCCCCAAATTGTCAACATATTAAAAGCCACTGTAGTATTGTCTACTTTTGGAGACTTACATATGAATTTTATCTCAATGCAGTTGTTATTTAAAAAAAGAGCTATGTGAGGACAAATAGCTACAAGATGAATGTTGATATTGGTGTGAATGTTTAAATAGGTGACATTAAAATTTCAAACCCTTAAACAAGCATGCTTAAAAGTACTGAAATGCTTCTTATACAAATATGATTTTGTCAGGTTTTTTTAATCCAACGTTTTTAGAGTGATGAATAAAAATCAAAAATTTCTGAAATAATCCAGAACTTCCAGTAGAGTTTTACTCAAAATGAACTCACATTTTATTCAGAAAGAATCACATTTAGCAGTCAAGGTCCTGTGTCTCAATGCATCTGAGCTGAGGTTTGAACTAAGACCAATGAGATGAATACTTTGTTGTCTGTCACCATTAAAATTATCCTTTTGACGATCATGGACCAAATGAAAGGGGTACAAACTATTTGTCTTTGTTGTTTTCCTATTATTAAATGTCTTTTGTAAAATTAGTCCTTAAATGAAACAAACTGGATTTTAAAAGGTGGTGTGTATGGATTGGCGCTACACAATCCACCCCAGTCACCATACTGAATATTGTTTTTATATCAAGTGAAGGTAAGCTCTATTTTCATTCCAGTGTTGTGTTCACCTGATGAACCCCATACAACTTCCATGCCCATCTCATACTAAAAATGATTTTCTTATAATCATTTAGAATCATTCTCTTAGAATCATTTTCCCCACATTACTATAGTTCAAGACAATTATGTCTTCAGAAGTTTATCTAATATTTGTGGGTTTTAGTCACAGAATCCTTTAACCATGTCTTTCCTTAAAGAAAATCAGTTCTTTTGCATGTCGTACTTAAGGCAACCTTTCCACACCCTGCTCCCCATCGAGTAGAGGTACTAACCTAATTTAAACAAAGATGAGTGAAGGGCAGAGATCTTAGTAATGAGTGATGGATTTGAGGCCCAGCACACATCTACCCTTACCTCCTCAGTCTCCTCTGGCATTACTCCTCCACCCATCTTAAAGTCTAGGTGGAACAGCTGACAGACAATTCTCTGAATTTGTCACAAGCCTTCCTTCCAACATGTTGTTGCTCACATGAAATACTGCCTTCCTTTTACCCCCATTCAGTATTTACTTGTTCATACCTTACTTTTCTTTTGAGACTCAGAGGAAAGGCCCAACTCCTCATGTAGCCTTTCCTAACACTCCCTTAACTCCAGGACGTGATACAAATTCTGACACAGGACATTCAGCAGTGGCACACCATCATCATGGCATTGAGGGCAAACACAAAGGACACAGGGTTCACTGAATTTTGTTTCCCCTTTTGAACACAGGATCTATCTGGGTAAAAATTGTAAGGTCTTAAAAGGTTACAGTAATCATTTATTAAAAATATTTATCTGCTTTTAAGTTAAATAAACAATTTTAATGCAAACATTCAATAGGGCATCTTTCCCATTGCTCCCAAGATTTCATCTCTTTCTGCTGCTGTAGGCATAGGTGGCTTTACTCCATTCTGTCTTCTCTGCATCATGACAGAATTCTGCATGTAGGTATAAAAAAAAAGAAACCAAAATCAGTCATGCATTAAATGCTAATCATTTTCCAGTGATTTGCTACTGCTTCTTCAAAAAGAAAAGTCTATAAACCAAGTTAAAGAAACAAAAAAAAAACTAATTGTAGGACTTCAGATAAAGTTTTCAAAATATTATCAATTATACAGTGATATTCCCACAGGAATACACAAACAATAATTGGGATGGGGACATGCTGTTTAACTAAAAGAGCACAAGAATACAGTCTATCAATGAAACCATCAATTAATTTAGCAGAGAAAACTAAAGCAGGTGAATATAGTGCTCAGAGAAACAGAAACTACATACCAATATCTCAGGAAAAATGGGACCACTTATAAACCACCCTAGGTGGTGGTGGGAGAGGTAGCTGAAATGGAAGACTAATATGTGTTATGACAAGACTAGTTACCCATTCTGTCTATCTCCAAGAGAAATAAAATTAAAACAAGGTATTGTTTTAGGGCTGCAGATACTTATACACCTAGGAAGACCCACCTCTATGATTTGAACTGCATCCTTATGCCTTGGAGTAGGATAAGGCAACTGAGAAGAGCTCTCAAGGATTGTTTAGGGCTAAAATAACACCTTAAGGATAAAGTAAAAAAGTTAAGTTTCCGGTGGGGATGTGTGGACTGACTGAAAGAAGGTGAAGGAATTAGTCAAAGAACATATATGCATGACTCACGGACACTGGACAATGGTGTGGGGATTGACTGTGGAAGTGGATGGTGGGCTGCAAGGGGGAGCACAGGGGAAAAAATTGGGATGACTGTGATAGTGTTAACAGTAAAATATTTAAATAAAAAATAAGAAAATAAAATGCAAATAAAGAGAAAAGTTGTTTCACTACAGCCATCCCAAAGAAAGGATTGTGGATATTGATTAATTTCAGGCTTCAGTATCAAGCCTAAGAGTTGAGTTAAAACTATCTCACCAAACCACGGTAGACTTACCCAGAATTTCCGGCAGTTTTTGTACCTCAAGAAGTAAGTGGAACACCTTTCCTTGTCATAGTTATTTTCATCCATACACCTGGCAGAAGCATCAGATTCCTTAAATATGTAAAATAGGCACTATTTAAGAGGTGAAATGCCATCTAAAAAAAAAACAAAACCCAAAAACTTCTGAAGTTGCTGCCCCCACAAAGCAGATAATATTAAACAGTCCCTTTTTGTTCATTTTAATGAAAATTTAATGAACAAAAACTGAATTATCTTTCCAACTAGCCCAAGCATTCTTTCTGCTCAAAGCAGACATCTTCCTTTTTATAGTCTGGGTCAGTTTTCTGAATATCTAATCACAGGAATTCAAGCTGAGGCACTGAGATCATTTAACCTAGTAACCACTTAACAAAGAAACAAAGGTGCTGTGGCAAGGTGCAATGTGCCGAAAATCACTGCTGCACAGCTAGAATCAAAACCATCTCCCAACTCCAAGGAGAGCAATCCTGTTTTTCCAAGTTCTGACTTTGACTAGAATGTCTGATGTTAATGCTAGTTTTGAGATCTAAGTAAATTGCTAATGACTGGTCTACATCAAGGCAACTTAAATTAACACCATTCATCTCAGTGTACTTTTGGCTATCATTCACTTCATTACACAAGTAAATACACTACTGTGTAAGCACTTTTACTAGATATCATTAATTAATATCATTTTAAAACTAAGTGAGCAACACAGGGCTATGAGTTCAAAGGAAGGTAGCTACCATTCGGGAATTAAATTTAAGTTGTCTGAACTGGAAGTAGATTGGATAACAAACTTCAAAGTGAAAGATGACTCTGACAGGTCACCACCTAAAGAAAAGCTTTAACTAAAGGGGTAGGTAATTTGCTTTATGGATCCAAGAAACATATTCTATCTAAAGAGACTTAATAAAGCAGTTGAAAACATCGAATATACAGAACAAATCTAAATTTCTATGCCAAATAATCAATGAATATGTATAGTTGGAAAGTCCACATAATAGGGTCAGGGAATATCATTTTATAGCACCAATCTGATGATTACATAATTCAAGGGTGACAAATATATTGCTACGCACACCAAATAAGTGCCAACAGAGCTTATGAATCAGCAAAATATTCTGTTTATATACCTTTGTTAAAACTTTTAGACTTTAAACAGACTAAGTCTGTATCAGTCCCTTACTCTCATCCAGGTGGTCTCAAGGACATGATAAAATTATTGCTATTAAAACATAAATTTCAGTGATAATTTAAAATATCACACTTTCCAACTTTCCATGTTTGGACTAAGATTTTTCCTCAGTGTTACATATGGTATAGTGAAAACTAAATGCTTGTATATAATATAAATAAGTAAAACTTAAAAGAGATAAATCTTTGTTAGCTAAATTATGCCTATCTAAAAAATGCTCCAGTGAAAAGAGGATACACTAGTTAGGACTATTTTTTTTATATAGAAATAACTTGAAAAAAATGGCAGGCCATCTGTATGTGATCTTTGGAAAAGTGTCTATTCAGTTCTTTTGCCCATTTTTTAACTGGGTTGTTTGTCTTCTTGGTGTTGAGTTGTATGAGTTCTTTATATTTTTGGAAATTAGCCACTTATCAGATGTATCAATGGCAAATATGTTCTCCCACTTCGTGAGTTCCCTTTTCATTTTGTTTATGGTTTCTTTTGCTGTGCAAAAGCTTTCTAGTTCGATATAGTCCCATTTGTTCATTTTTTTACTTTGTTTCTCTTGTCCAAGGAGACATTGCTACCAAAAAAAAAAGAAAAATAAATCTCAGAAGGAAAACATAGGCAGTAAAATCTCAAACATTTATCAAGCATATTTCTTATAGTTCTGGTATAATACATGTCTATAGAGGAAAAAATAAGACATTTCCCTTACTAAGTGTATAATTTGATAATAGTGGAAACATGGAGATAATTTTAGAAGTACTGTTTTAATGGACCTCTTCCACACATGTCATGGGACTCAATGGAAATGCTCACTGAGAAATCAAACAACTGACAGGTTTGGGGAGGGGACTTTGTCCACAGCCTAGGTCAGGGGATATGTCTATGTATTTTGTTAGCACCTCCCCCTACAAAAACCTTAGAAATAGTTCACTGAACCAAATCTTCTGATCTATGAAAGAATGAAGCCAAAAACAGGCAGCTTCATGAAGGGAGAAAAAAGAGTATCTTTATCTTCCAATAGATTCAGAGAAACCTGAGAAAGTATACCCACAAAGTGAACAGAAGAAAATGAGTATTCATATCATGTTACCCAACTATTAAACTAAAGAAAATAATGATTAAGGATCAACCCTGGCTGGTGTGGCTCAGTGGACTGAGTGCCGGTCTGAGAACCAAAAGGTCACCAGTTTGATACCCACCCAGGACACAAGCCTGGGTTGAGAGCCAGGTCCCCGGTTGGGGACATGCTAGAGACAACCAATCGATGTATCTCTTGCACACTGATGTTACTCTCCCTCTCTTTCCCCCTCCCTTCCCCACTCTCTGAAAATAAATATACAAAAATCTCCTATAAAAAAATGTCAGAAAACAGAAAGATTGATATAGACAGAGAAACGAAGTGATGGCTGCCAGAAGGAAGGTAAGTGGGAGGATGGGTAAAAAAGGTGAAGGTACAATCTTCCAGTAATAAAATAAGTGACAGGGATGTAATATACAGGGAATGCAGTCAGAATGCTTTACGGTAACAGATGATTTTATTAGATTTATTGTGGTGATCACATCATAAGGTATGTAAATGTCAAATCACTATGTTGTACACCTGGAACTAATATATGTCAATTATACTTTAATAAAAAATAAATTAATTAATTTACAATAACAAATAAAATAGTAAAAGAATATCTAAATGAATATTTACTGGATTTCTGGGTAGGAAACGTAAACTTCTGTATTTGAAAAAATCCCATTAAAATTAAAAAGCAAACTGAGAAAAACAAAACAAAAAAAAAGAACTTCAAAAAAACAGATGTCCACAAAATCAGAATAAGTCTGTTTTTCCAACTTAAGACTCATGAAAATTAAAAGCAAACCACCTTACCAACAAGCAAGGATTTGTGTCAGGATCTCTCAGTCGCCGTGTTACCATTGGCATCCTAACAGTCTTCTTACTGAAGGTAGTAGATGTTAGGGAAAAGTGTTATACAGCAGATGTCATAAAATAAATCAATAAATCTCATTTGCCCCTTAAGTACTTGAAAATTAATTCTGAAATAATGATTATCTAGTGAGAACTTCATGTAGCCTCTCCATTTTGAAGATAAGGACTGGGATATGTTTTTCCTTTGCATTGCTATGGTGCCTCAGTACAATGGCCATATTTAGGTGCATCTACTAAGATTTGATTATAATGTTCAAACTGAAAGACAGTTCAGCTATCACTCAGTTTTAGCTTATTCTTATTTCCAAAGGTTAAGTAATTAATTTTACTAACAAAACCTAATACAGCATGTGCTCTAAGTTATTTCCCTATAATACATTGATTAGCATACAAAATAAGTATGGAATAATTTAGTACAACCCAACTTTAGCAAAAACATCTGTCAACTGCCAAACAGGAATGCCTACTCTGCAGCCAGCACTGGACTGGCCAATATACCAAAAAGCAAAGTTACTGCTTAGTTGACATTTCAAAGTTTTTTAAAAAGCTGAAACTTTACTCCCAATGTTTTCTATTTAATTGATACTTCTGGGTTGAAGGAATCAGGAAATGCTATGATTCATTAATGTTTCAGCTCAAGCCTTATAGACACATCCTGCAAAAGTCTTTATTGATTAGAGGTGACAACAGTTTCCTAAGAGCCAATTAGTGAATCCAAATCAAGTCATATACTCATATAATAGGTATGCCAACTATATCTCAGGACAATTGCTCTCTATAATGGAGTTCAATTAAAATTGGTATGCCTCCTATCTTCAAAGACACCATAGGAACCAAAAGAAAACAAATTTAAAACAGTAACTAACTTAAATATTTCAAAGTGATTTTTTGTTTCAATATATTATACACCATGGATAAGCCACCCACAAATGTTTCCTGAATCCTCTTCTAGCTTAATCATCTTCCACTTAAAGACTGAAGGAGAAACCAGAAAATAATGCAGTATGACCTACAAAATGCCACAGAATAAAAAGTCCAGCTGCGTGAGCTACTGACATGTTAGCATATTGATGGTCAGCATAACCAGACAGAAGTCCGAATTTGTGTATGAACTGGTTTGTACTTTCCTTGCTCAAGATGGGACCATCAAAAGATATGTCATGTTAAAAAAATAAAGTACATTTAGGAAAAATAATCAAACCCCACTAGCTCCTGAAAAGTGGAGGTATTCTCAATCAAGAGTCACCTAGTTAGTTTGGTTTCTTCTATTGTGGGAAAGATTAGGTTGTCTAGGCTAAAAGAAATCAACATTTGCAAAAAAGGATGGAAAACAGTTCAGTCATTCTGGGGTCCTTTAACTTTTGTACCCACTAAGTAATCCTTTCATTTTATGATTTACATTGAATATATGAATATACCTAGTTAACAGAAACATCTTGGCAAAAAGGATATTCAAAATGCTCTTCCAATATATCTAGAAGTGTCTTCCTTTACTAAACACAATTCTTTCGCAGCCTTGACTTCCTAGCGTGATGATGGTGCTAAGCAACCGCACAGCCTTGTTTTTTACATCTATCCTATTACATGAGAACACAGAACTCTGCCTAGGTGTTCATATTCCTTGAATATAATCTCAACAACCATCAGACACAGACAAAACTCAGATTGCATACCTTACATAAAAGCCTCCTACTCTGCATTTTATTATCACCATTAGCCAGGAATTCTTTAAAAATAACACCTAGATAACGTCACATAAACCCGAATTAGGTTTACAGCGTGGGTTTATTCAGATTCATATTTCATTTCCTTTCCCCTCTGAATTGTAAATACAAGTCAATCTAAGTTTGGACTTCCGAATGTCACCTTCTTTGCATAAATTCCTAATGTATAAACCGGAAATGTCAATTTACAGTGAAGAAGTGGGGCAGAAGGGCAAGATCGAGTGTTCTGCTGGAGAGGCCTCATCTACTTACTTTCTGAAGGTACTAAACAAAAGTTACAAAGCTCTACTTCCCAGGAAAAAAAAAAAACAGTTATAGGAGGGGCCGCACAAGTACATGTGAGGAACAACTTTAAAATCTTCTCTAAAGGGCAAACTGTTGTAAAAAAGTATTTGATTTCCCATCACATCCCCACTCCAAGAAGCTTTGAAAGGGAAGGGGAAAGGAGACCCTACGGCCAGGTTCCCAGTCTGGTCAGAGCCACGCAGGCTGTCTGTGGCTCTGACAAAACTCAGATGCAACTATTGGGAAGCTGAAAAATGTCATTTGAAAACATAAAGCCTATTTCTAGGGTGCAGAGACAGGGTGGCATACCGGAGGGAGGCGGGGAACTCGAACGGAGAAACCGGAGAGATAAAGTCCGAGTCCTTGCTGCCCTCCGCGATGCTGCCAGTCCGTCTAACGGTGGACGGCGGGCACAGGAAACACACCTTGCTTCAACCTTCGATGGTGCCGAGAAGGGCACGGGGCGAAGAAAAGGAAGGAAATTGGGTATAGGTGCACGCAACGACGCTTCAAAGGCTGGGAAGGAGAATGAAGAACTGGAGTTGCCCGGGCATGGGTCAACTTCCTCGCCCGGGGCCGAACAGACCCGTAAAGCAGAGAGGAGAAGCGAAAGGAAGGGGCCCGTAGCGCAGCAAGGCCCGGTGGAAGCAGCTTCATGCGGAAGTGCACTTGGGCCCTCGGCGATTCAAGTGCAGACCTCTCTTCCCCGCTCCCTGCAGCCTGTCACGAAAGGAGGGGCGCGGACCACTCACCTCGGGGTGCCACTATACCAGTGACCAGGCAATCTCCAACTCCAAACACGTCAATAGCTCACGCAGCTGGACTTTAAGTAGCGCGCATCCAAACTTGCTGCCCCCGCTCCTGAGAGGCCGCCAGTCCAATCAGCGTGCGCCGCTGCCAGACTGACAGCCGTTCCGGGCTCTGCACAGCGGGGGTGGGCGGGTCTCGCGCCCGCCCCCAGCTGGCGGCCGGGGGGGGCGGACAGAGGCGGGGGGAGTGGGCGGGGCCTCGGGCGCGCCCCTCCTTCCTCCCTACCCCCGCCCCACCGCGCCCCCCGAGCCGCGGCCCGCTTCTTAACACTTCTTCTTGATCGGCGGCTCTACTGGCCAATCGACACGCCCAATTCTTGCGGCGGCAACGTCTAGTGGCCGGACCCAGGGCGGAGCGCGCGAGTGGGGGCGGACACAGTGGCAGGCGGGGGCCAGGGGCGGGCCGGGGGGAGGTGGGGGCGGTGGCCGAGCGGGCCCGGGGAGGCGGTGGTGGGCGCGACGTCGGCGGCAGCGGCGGCGGCGGCGGCAGCGGCAGCTGCAAGTTGGGCTGCAGGGGCAGCGCATACACTACAATGGCTGCTGGAAAGAGGCGTAAGGAAACAATTTCCAGGCCCGCCGCGTCCAGCCCGAAATATGAGAAAAAAATTATTAGAAATTCCGCGGGCGGTGTAAAGGCGGCGGACGGGCCGGAGGGAGGATGTTAAAGCCCCGCGGTGAGTTCTCCCGGGATCCGGGGCGGCGGAGAGGCGTTTAGCGGGAGAAATATCAGGGTTATTTAAATTATGGGACTAGCCGAGGGGGCAGAGGAACAGCGGCGGCGGCAGGAGGAGGAAAAGTTTGTGCTACTCTCAGCCCCTGCTCAGGACCCCAGAGAGAAAAATAATAATAAAAAATAAAATAAAATAATTAATTGAGGGTGTGAGGACTCCCGAAGTCGCTTCTGACAGGGCGGGGGGCGATGCGGCTGGAGACCCAAAGGTGAGGTCGGTGGGAAAAAAAAAAAAAAAACCTTTATTCAGGGTCTGGAAAGTTTGAAAAGTTTTCCTCCTCCTCCTCCTCCTCCTCTCTGGTGCTGTGAATATTGTGACAGCGGCAGCGGCAGCAGCGAGAGCGGAAGACATTAGAGACCCGAAAAATAAGGGAAAAATTAATATAAATTCAGTTTTGAGAGTAAACTCTCCGCATTTTCCACCAAAACATCCCGGGGGAAGGTCGCTTCCCAAAGGGCCTGGCGGAAACCCGCAGTCGGCAATATTTGGGGGGCTCTTTGAGTGACTTGGGGTAACTTTGCCCCTTTTTCAAAAGAGGTTTTTCTTTTTGGGAGAAATGAATTTGTTTTTGCCCTTTCCTCAGGTGGGCGAGTCGGGGTCCGGGTGCGGGGTCTTCAGGGAGGTGTGAACCCTGGATGTGTGGCTGCGAGGGCGGGGGATAGGGGGAGGGGGTGCTAAATGAAAGCAGGAGATCTGCACAGAGCAGGGACAGCTTGTTGTCAGTATCATAAACAACCAAAATGGAGGGAGAACTCAGGCATATAACCAAATAAAAATTTTTAAAAAATCCCAAAAAATCCCTAAAAATCCGGGATGCTCCCCCTTTTCTCGCTAAAGGTAAAAGTATGAACCGCCTTTCCTCTGAAGTCCATTTTGACTTTGCAGGGACCAAGGAGTTAATATTTATTTATTTTTTAAAACTTTCGAAGGGCAAAAGCCTTTTATAACTCAACCGACAATGAGAAAACGTGAAAATCCGATGCAAGAGAAGGAGGGGGAGGGAGGGGGGAGATGGTAGAGCAGAAACTGCTAAACTTATTGGTAATGTGGACTGATCTGAGATAAGATAAACACTATATTTGCTATTTTATAACTCTCTTAATGATCTTTGCGGTTTGGGGGGGGGAGTTTGGTAGGAAAAAAAGTGATGCCATTTTTCTTAAGAGAGTTAATATGTGTGATTGGAAGAATAAACCTTTCTGGCTTTAGATTGCATTTTCGTCGCATTTATGCTTCAGGTTTTGTTAGTGGCTCCCTCCTTTCTTTAAACTAGGCTGTACAGAGGAGGGGTAGAGAGGTGATGTTGCACTGAGAGGCTGGAGTGCGAGACTGGAGCACCTTTTGGGGAGGGGTGGGGAGTTGCTTGGCTTCTCCCTTCCTGACACGTTTGCTTCACCTGTTCATCCTCGGTTAAGAATGTTGAGCTGAGGTTTTCTGGTTTTATGTATATAAAAGCATGGTGCCTCTTGCATCACATTGAAGTTAATGGGAAAGTGCTGCTGATGTTGGTTCCACGTGGGATATGGGACAGAGCACGGCATTTTAAAGGGACAGCTTCTCTTTTCCTATGGTTTTCATCACCTACACAGAATCACTGTCTGAGGACCAAGAGAAGAGGTGCTGGGAGGGTGTGTGGTGATGGAAGAGCCTTCTTTCCATTACTCAAGTGCGCCCACCTTCAGGAGTGATGGAGAGAACGGAGGGATAAACAAACTCAACAGAAGATAGATATTGTATAGATTAGTTTGTTTCCAAATTGTTCTTTTGTGTAATGAGCCCTCCCAGGAACTTTTCATGTTACATTGCTTTGCTTTGGAAGCTGATTTTGGAAGGAATTGTGGAAAAATGGGAATAGTTTAAGGTGTGTGGTGTAATGGTATAGCATTATTGAACAGTTATGAATTCTGTGCAGTGAGATCAAAGAGCTGTGTATGCCCATAATGTGAATTTACAGCCATTTTGTAAAATGCTGTAAAATACCTAATCAATTTGGCTTAAGGTACAATGAGGACTTCTGGTTGAAAACTGTAGGCAGAGTGATGGAGATTGTTTAACACTGTAAGCAGTAAGCATTTCTTTAAGGAAAAAAAAAGCACATAAACCAACACTATGGAAAAGTTTACGTATACCCATTTTTAAAGCCCATCCTATACATGTGCTGTAACTCTGTGCCTTGAATTTAGAAGATTTTTTAATTCTGAGACCTATCACTTTGTATCTTTTAAGTTAATTTATTTGTATTATTTAACAAAAAAAGTAATTACTGAGCATAAACTATTGTTGCCTCTAATGGGTTAGGTTTCTACAATATTTTCAAAATTTAAAATATATAAATTGTTAGTTGTATTCTATTTGGGATTAAAGTTAATCTTGAATAAAAATTACTTGTGTTCCGTTTTCCACAGGTATATGGAATTTCTAGAATAAGTGCCTATTTTCCTTTGTTTTTATGATTTAGAGAAATGGATTAAAAATAGAGCTGGATTTTTAGACTTCTTATTCAGAATACTTTTTCTTGCCATACTGTACAAACAGATTATTTTGGAGTCCATTGTATGTTAACTTGTGTTCACAGCTGAGCTTTTATCTGCATCTTGGTGTAAATACCTGTAAAACAGCATTACATAAGTGTAGTGTTTAAGTACATCATAGTGGTTTCTGATTTTGGAATCAATTACAACTTTATAAGAACTCATTAAAAATAAATCCCATGTTAAATCAAAATTGATTGGGAAGTGATTAAACTATCAATGCAGAAGAGAAACTTTCATCCTTCTCCCAATAGTCTTCTTTCCAAAGATTTCAGATTATTATTAATGGTTATAAAACCTCTGAAGTGTATCTTACATTTTTATTGTATTTTGGCTCAAGACAGTTATATTGACTATAAGTAGTCAGAATTAGGCTGTGTATTTAAAATGAATGAGTCTTTTAGATCTTGAATAGTTGCCTCTTTGACAAACCAGATAGTGTCAATGAATTCAATTTCTGTAACAATGAAGGTAAAGTATTTCTTCCAATTATTTTAGACCATTGAGTTAATCAGGTTGTTTGGACACTTGAAGTTATGGCTGTTGTCAACCTAAATAAAAGTGCTGGTATTATGGGGTTTTTTTTTCTCTCAGAAAGAGTGACACAAAACTTTCTTCATGTTTGGGTTTGACGTAACTAGTTACTTGTCTGAATTAGAAAATGCACTCTCAGTGCACAACTATAAAATCTGTAATTCCTTAGAGAGTCTTTAGATAGGGCACAGCACAATATCTAATTTGAATTTGTTGTTTTGAGCTTTCTTAATGCCTTAGAAATCTGTCTGTTGAACATGTCTTTTCTGAAGCTTCAATTAAATTACGTCAATTTACAGAAATAATCTTAGGATATTGTATGCTTAGAATTTTTACATCAGTTCGAATTAGAGAAACCTCATACATTGAGATTCTTATTTGAAATTTATATGCCTAATTTTGGTATGAGAAATTTTATAAGGAATTTAGCTGCTGTGGAAAATGATTTATAAATGTGGGCTAATACTGATAAAAGTCTATATCTGTATATTTATTATAACCAAAATATTTAATAAACAGACATCTTACAGCTAAATAAGTGAATTTGCTCTTATTAATATAGTTTAAAATTTTTATGGATGCTCTGTGGTTTAATGCTGTACAAAGGTGGAGGGTTTCCTTCATTTTTAACAGAATACTGGTTGTTTCTATATACATTTTGTTTTGGTATTCTGGAAATTTCCTTCCTCAGGATTAAATTGTTATTTGGTAAATTAAATGTAATATGCTTGTCTTTGAGATCTGAAAAGCCAGATAACTGAAACACATCTATAACTATCTTTGAAGTTTTGTTTCAGTAATCATTTGGCTCTTGAGCTGTGTAATCAAAATATTGGTTTCTTCTAGGAATGTATTAATCTTTTTATTTACAATACTGTTCTTTATAAAAGTAAGATATATGAAAAATTGCCTGTTATACACACACACACACATTCACATTCAAGAAAAAAGGAAAAAGTTTTATTGAATAACTTCACTTCTACTGCTTGGAATACTTGTTCTTTTTGATGTGTTTCCAAATGTAAAAGAAAAATATAATTTTTGTTCTCTTTATATTGATAATATCTTAGATTCTTTAGTTATTTGAATAAGGGAAGAGTTTCAAAAGAAGGAAAAACAACTGAATCTGTTCAGTAGACTCCAAGATATGAATATGTTAAAGGTACAAGGGCTATAATTTGTCCTTTTAGCCATCTTTGAAATTTTTAAGAACCTGAGAAACACCTTTTGTGAAACTTCAAATACAGACTACTTTGAAAATATATCAGACATAGCAAAGAAACAAAAGTGAACCTTTAATTTCTTTAATTTTAAGAGAGTTAATGTAGGCAGCATATTTAACCAATTAGTAAGTATTTAGGTAGCCTTGGAAAAGTATTTACAAATAAGTTAAATATGAGGGTAGAGTAGATTGGATTGATGAACTTTAAAGTTCATTATGATTTTAGAGTTCATACATAGGAATTTTTTTCCATTTTATGATAACACCACTTTGGAAGTAACTAATTTTTAGTTTTTGTATGTTTTATAACTTCATTTTTTTTAAACACCTGAACCTGCCATCCACTGTGTTACTACTTTTATAACAGGACAACTTTCATATCTCATTAATAAATTTAATTTTTAAATATAATTTGAGAAATTAAATGAAATCTTCTAGATCATATTTTATAAAAAGTATTGGTGTATAGTTACTAACGGTTAAAGTTGTAAGAAATATACATGAATGAAAGCCTAGTAGAAGTTACTACAGAAGCATAATTTGATTTTTACTTTTGAATCGTTTGGCCTGATGCCCAGAGGTTTGCATTCTACTCAGTGTATACACCTGTCCCTGCCTCCTCTTTTCAAGGTGACAAGACTATGGTGATGTAGAAC